CCACCACCACCACCACCACCACCACCACCACCACCACCACCATCAACACCATCAACACCAACACACACCCTTTCTCACCAATCGCCATCATCAGCCGCATTAGTTGAATTCTCGGCATCTTGATCCAACATTCCTCCATCCTCTATCATTTCTGTTAAGCACACGGTCAGTTGACTGTTCAGTGCTTCTAAGGTAAAGACGATTTTAACTGTTGAAAGATGGAGTGCGTGGAGAATTCAGGTGTGGAGGACGATGATGATGCTGTTGCTGAAGACGCAACACTGCCGACGATCTGGACTTGCTTCTAGCTTTGTGTTGAAAACGAGATACGCCTCTGACTCATTCACTCACTATAATTAATTTTTTTAACTGGTTTCTAAAAAGGTTGTAGATTTGCAATACGAAATGCCATTTTTAGGCTCCCTTTTAAAATCTCTTTTATGCGAATTCAACGTTGTAATAGAATAGTAGCTAAGGTGACAAAGGCTGCTGTTTTTGCATTACCTGAAGGAGATCTTATCTTTAGGAGTGATGCGAGGGACCAAGTATTTGCGCAACTCTCTCCTTTCCTTGAGCTAGATCCACAAATTCCTTCTTCCAGTTGACCGATTTAACACACGAATAGGTTGATGATGCTCTAGCAACAGCCACAGGAGTAAAAGTAGTGAAAGAGCTGTAAGCATGGAAGAACGAACTAATCTATTGTACCACTTTTACAGGACATGATGCTTCTTAGGTAACTCAAGTAAACAGAACTGCTACTTGCCAGCACACCTGCACACATACTCATTCACAGGAGCATTATAGGATTTGTTTTCTTGAATCACCCCTAAAGTTAAGCAAACGCGATGGACGTTCTCTCACAGACCGAGTAGAAGCACAAATGTGCAGGTCTCAAGAGCGCTTCGTGAGAACGCCTTTCAAGTTGACCGTGTCTTCACCTGACCTTCTGGCTTGCCCCAACAGAAGGCCGCCGTAGAGACACAACCCACATTTTCCCTATACAGTAACATAAATTTTTTTTTCTTAACAAATGCATAGAGCGACATGGCTTTCCAAGTCAATGGTGATATCCAAAGTGATCCAAACAATGGAATTAAGGTGAGTTTCACTTCCATTTCTGAGACAATGCGTCGATCCCCTTCTGTTTTATGTCAAAATTGTCTCGATGCTTCTCATTGTTGACGTCAGAGCCGTAATGAGAGGTTATAGGCAAATTTCCTATTGTTTAAGTATCCACAAACTGATGACAAGCGCTGCTTATTTGAAATTTTTATCAACAGGAAAAAGCA